AGCCTCAGAGCAGGCTCCAGGCCAAGGCAGTCGGGCCCAGCCCCGGCCAGAGGGAAAACCAGGCCACACAGGGGTTCCATCCCCCGTGGACAAAACAGGTGGTTTGCCCAAACTGTTCCCCTTTCAAGCACAGCCTTTGGTTGTACGTCCTTGGGCAAAATAAAAACCACCACCACAAGCATACCCACAAAGCTGCAACCTCTAGCTAATTCCGACTCCGGGCGACCCGAGGATGGCTCCCCCCCGCCCGGCACACGCCGGATGCCCACTGGTGGGACGACGTGGACTCCACCCGTGACAACCCAGAGGGCACGCCGATGGCAGGCACGGCTCTGGCTTTTCCCTGCTGGTGCCCAAGTGGCAGCGCCCCTGGGCGGGCCGCGCCTGCACGCAAGCCAGGCTGCCCTGCCGCTGAGGATGCGGCTCTGTGGCTGGCAGGGCCTGCCCGGTGCCAGGCTGCCCAGAACCCAGCTTGCGCCCCTGAGACGGGCCGGGAACCAGCCAGGCTCGAGGTCACGGCACCCTCACCAGCCGCGGGCCGCTGCCCCCTCCAGGCCTCAGCCTCCTCGGCATAACACAAGGAGCGGGGCCGGGGACGGCAAGCAGGCGCATCCGCCTCTTGTGGGCCTCGGCGAGTGCCCGCTGGTGGCAGCCTCCTCCTCCGGGGCCGGGACACAGCCCAGAGTCCTCCCGGACAGGGCCCCAGGACGCCCGTGTGGGGGCAGTCCCCAGAGCAAAGCCCGCGCTCGGGGGCCGGCGGAGTCTGTGGGTTCTGTCCGACGGGCTCGGAAGACTTGAGCGCACAGAAACAGGCAGGGCCGCTCCGAGCTGCCCGGCTCACGGCCTGCCCTGTCACCGCCCGCCCGGCCTGGAAGCGAAGAGAGCGGCCAGGCGGCGGTGGGGGCCCAGCGTCGTCCTCCCCGGCTGCTGGCAGCGGCCCACAGGCTAGCGGGTCCGTCCGGCTGTGCCTGCGTCCCCCACAGCTCTGCAGTGGGGGCTGAAGCCTCGCTGCCTGGCCCTGCCATCTGCAGCCTGCGGCCTGGGGCATCGTACTCAGCCTCTCCGTGTGGCCACGCCCTCATCTGAGGTGTGCCAGCCATCGAGACCCGGTGCCCAGGCCGCCGAGGGGCCCCCGAGTGCTGGGCACGTCTCTCGGGCGCCACCCGCACCCACCCTGCCTGGGCCCTCTGCTGACCGGGCCCACTCAGCCCAGGGGACACCCAAAAGTCAGGAAGCAGAAACCTCTACCAAGCGTGACCCGACAGGGGCCCAGGGCAGCAGGACACCAGGACACCCCACTGGATGTGAACTGGGGAAGAAACACTCATCTAGGAATGAGGTCATTTAAGCTCGGTATTTAAAAAGAAGGGGATAAAAACCGCAGCCATCGACGCGATGCTCCCCCAGCCAGACACTCCCCAGGCCAGATACTCCCCCGCCAAACGCTGAGCTGCGCTGGTTCAAAGCAAAGCCCGGAGCTGGCCCGGGCACTCCCCGCCGGCCCACAAGCCCCCTTCCCACTCAGAAGCGGAGCCCCCTGGACTCCCAGGACTCTGGAGTGCTGCCTTTGGGGACCGGGCGTGTCCAGAGGCGCCCGTGATCTCTCTGAGGCTGGAGCCCCCGGGGGCTGGCCCAGCATGGCGGTGGGCAGGCGTTTCTGCCGAGGGAGGTGGCTGGGACGTCCTCTCGACAGGTGTGACAGCGCACGCAACCCACACACAGCGCGCGTGGCCCGTCGGGACCAACCCACCTGCTCGGTGCTGGGTCATGGGGCGGCGGGGGCGGGGACTAAGACGGCCAAGGCTGGGCGCAGCTCCTGGGGGGACGTGGCATGGGAGACATCAGTGTTCTTCGGCTCTAAAGGTGGCGCCCGCAAGTCCCAGGCCCCAGGCTGGGGTCCCGCACCCTACAGATGACAACACGGGGGTCCGAGCCCCTCCCCGCAGCTGCCCCTCAGCCTCAGCTCCTCCAGGGTGGCGCCCCCTTCAGCCAGCACCCCGCCCTGCCGGGCCCGGGTCTCAGCCGGGGAAAGGTCTGTGGCTGCTGCCTGTGAGATCACCCTGGGACGCGTGGTCGCCGGGAAATGCCGCAGCTTAAGCGTCGCCTGGTGCCCACCCCGCACACACGCCCAGCAGCCTGCACACTGGCCCCGGGTGCCCCGTCCATCGGCACCTGCCGCCCTCTGACCACCTCCGACCGGCGTCACCGAGATCCGGGTGCGCTCCCTCTGGCTCCCGTGGCAGCAGAGGCGAGATTCCCCATCGGGGCTCCCCGGGGGCTGAACGCAACTTGGCAACTCCCCCAGCCCTCGGGGTCGTGCATTCCTGTGGGAAGGACGCAAGTTTCCTCGGGGATTGACTTGGGATCCCTGCAGGTCCTGCCTGGTCTCCAGCAAGGCAGCGTGGGACCGTGGCCAAGCACAGTTGAGCTGGAACCCGGGGACTGGCTGTGTGTGCCCAGGTACGCCTCCTGCCCTCTCTGGCTGGGTCTCTCCTCTGCACCATGGGGGAGTGGGCAGGACATGGCTGAAAAGGGCCGCTAGGAAGACCTTTCCTCTTCACGCAGACTCTGGGGCTTACGGATGCCACGGAAGCCCAGTGTGCCAGAGCCGGCAAGGCCACTGCGTCTCACCATACAGACGAGGGAACTGAGGCCTCAGAGGAACAGGCCAAGGCAGAGCCGGGCCTGGAGCCCTCAGACCCGCCCACCCAGCGGCCGACTTGCTGAAGGCCAGAAGCCACCTTGGAATCTGCTTAAGACACCGCCACTCTGGGTCAGGCCAGGTGCAGCGGCTGGGACTCGGGGGCTGTCACTGCGCTTGCAAAGAGAACGCCGAGTTCCTGCAGCTCCCTGGAGACGGTGTGCTAGGTGTCAGCCCACGGGACCCAGGGCCACGAGGGAATGCCACGACCACAGCAAACCCCAGCTCTCCCGCGCCACCTGACCCGGGATGGCAGCCCGGGGCACCAGAGGACGAGGGAGGTGTGCGTGGCCACCCCCCCAGCACCGCTGCTCGCAGCCGCTAGCGCTGGGATTTTTTTCCTAGTTTCTCAACTTTTACAGTGAAATGGGGGTGCGCGGGGCGTGAAAATGGAGAGCCAGGAAACACACGTGGGGCAATCTGGCTTTCCAGAGACCCGTGGGCACCGAGGCCTTATTGCTGATGAAGCTTGTCTCCACGGCAACGGAAGCAGGACGGGGAAACCCCACGGGGGAGACCCCACTGGGCATCGGGTCTCTCTTGGTGAATGCAGGACACGCCTCCTGGGTCTCTCAGAAGCCCGAGCGACGGTGACCGTTCTGGGGTCCGTGTGCCCCGTCTCCGCCCCCACGACTGCCCGGAGCGGGCTGAGGACCTCAGGTCGCAGAGAGGCCAGTGAGAGGGCGTCCATGTGTAACCTTTATTGTGCTTCACGGAGCCCCCAGGGGCCCGGGGGCCCCTCCACCGCCCTGCACCTGGAGCGGGAGGTTCACAGAGCACAGGGAGGGGCACGGAGCTCGGAGCCCACCCTCCCGGACCACCCGGGGTCTGCCCGCCAGTGTGAAAGCAAACCGTCCATGTGACGCCTGAGCTCGGCCCAAGACCTGGCCCGGCCCTCCCAGCTGCCCCGGCCAGGAGGGAGGCGGGCACCACCCCGTCTGCCACCAGGTGCCTCGGAGTCAGGGACGCCACCGTCCGGAGATGCAGTGGGAACGTCCGGGGGCCACTGCTCGCCCCACGGCCCGGCTACTGGGTGTTCTCATACTTCAGGTATCGGATCAGCCGGCCCGGGAGAGGCAGCGTGTCTAGGAGCGTTATGCGGGACTTCCCAAGGGCCTTTCGAACCCGCAGCCGGCAGAGGTGAGCCAGAGGTCTTGGAGGTTCTGGAAAAGGGAGGGAAAGAGGGATGCCGACTGTCCTTGGCGACCGGGCCAGGGTCTGCGTCTGTGACCCCGCCTGCGGGAGGCGCCCCCTGGTGTGCGGGGCAAGGGGGGTACCTGCTGGTGACCCAGGAGGGCCCCTTGCCACCGGTCGCCACCATCCGTCGGCGAGCCCAAGGACGGTGCCAGAGAGGCTCCGTGCCCATTTCACAGGCGAGCTCCCCAGCCCGGCCTAGAAGCCCACCCGGCCCAGGGCTGGCATCTCCTCACTTGCGCTCCTCAGCCTGGGCATCGGGTCCGGCGCTGCCCTCTTAAATGCCCCCGGTTGGAACTCAGCTCAGAGCTCCCAGGGTGCTGGGAGGCCGGGGCAAGGGGGCGGGCACTGGCAGCTCCCTGTGGCTCCCGCTCCCCGCTCTGCCCACCCCCAGGGGGTCTAGGTCTTGGCGCGCGGGACCATGGCGAACCCCCGCTCCCCCTGAAACGGGCCGCAGTGGTGTCTCCTCAGCTGGGGCGGGGAAGCCGTGGGAAGGGGTGAGTCCCTTGGGCCCCGAGCACAGGGTCAGGGGACATGCCGGGCCCCTTCACTGCCCCTAGCTCTGCACGTGGGCCAAGGAGGCAGAAGCAGCTGCCCCGGGGGCATCGGGGAAGGCTCCTGCACCAGCCGGGCCCTCGGCACAGGGCCCTGGGCCGGGCGGTAGTGTACCGGGGGCGGAAGGCAGCAAGGCGTTCCAGGCAGGGGACAGCAAGTGCCCAGCAGGGAAGGCATGCAGCCCGGGGGTGGGCGGGCAAGGAGGAGCGGGACGTCCACACCCCGTGGCCGTGTCTCTGACACTCTCACGCCCTCTGAGCCGGCCTGGGAAGCTCTGCACGGGCTGCCGGTGGGCAGGGGACATGGGCCCCGAGGGCAAGGCTGGCCAGCCTACGGGGTCCGCGTGCCGCCTCCCGGAGCCCGCGTGTCCCTCCCCAGGACAGTGACGTCAGCACCACAGCGCTCGTGCACACGTGGAGCGTGCTCTGCAGAGGGGAGGGGGGCTTTGCGAGCCCAGACAGGCGCTGGGGAGGAAGGATTCGCTAGGAATGCTGGTGTGAGGGACGGCCCTTCCCTGTGGAAGGGGACAGGACAGGCTGGGGGCAGGACAGACACGGACCGCCCCGCCCTCTAGCGGCCAAGGTCCGTGGTTGACAGCAACCGGCCGTCACCGTCGGAGGCTTGCTGTGACTTTGCTGCGCCTCCCTCCCCGGGAACTTTTTTTTTTGAGTCAGAGTCTCACTCTGTCGCCCAGACCGGAGTGCAGTGGCCGCTCCCGGGCACCGCAGCCTCGCCTGCTGGGCTCCGGCGATCCTTCCGCCTCAGCCTTCCAAGGAGCTGGAACTACAGGTGCGCACTACCACGCCCGGCTCATTTTTTGATTTACTGTAGAAATGAGGTGTCGCCAAGTTGCCCAGGCGGGTCTCGAACCCGCGGGCTCAGGCCATCCACTCACCTCAGCCTCCCAAAGGCGTGGGATGAAGGCTGAGCCACCGAGCCCGGCTGGGACCTTTGACCAAGGTCTCCATTGAGGTCCCTTCCGGGCATCGGTGTCCGTGGGAAGTCCCACAGGAGGCCCCAAGGAGGGCTTGAGAGTCAGAGCCAGACGCTGGGAGGGCGCTGAGGCACCGCAGTCTCGCCGGGGGCAGGGCAGCCAGGGGAGAGGGGCCGTGACCCGGGCAGGCCGGACCGCCTCCCCATGGACCGGCATGCAGCCCGAGCGGGACGGTGACCTGAGCCCCGGAAAGCCCCGGGGGGCGGGCCGGGCCCTCCGCACGGGCCATCTCTGCCACGTACACATCCAGTCTGCCCGCTTCCAACACCTCGCCCACCCCGGTGAGCTCTGTCGGGCGCAGGAGGGATTCTGGCCTCCTCGGCCTGACCTGGCCTGGCAGCCCCCACAACCTACACACCGCAAGGGACCGCGGCAGGGCCCGCTTTCCTGTGCCAAGCACCCTTCAGGCGGGCAGATGGGGAAGGGGCTGGGAGCCACCCAGCTGCCTCGTTCAGCTGGGGAGGGGCCCTGCCCTCGTCGCCCACAAGGCAGGCTCCACCTGCCTCCCAGCGTGGTCTGTGCCCGGGCGTGTGGCATCACCCGGACGCCGCCAACATGCAGGCTCTCTGGCTCCGCCCCAGCCCCACAGGGTCAGAATCTGCATCTGGAACAAGCCGCGCAGCGCTTTTCGTGTATTTACCGTGAGATGCCCTAGACCGCCACCCTGCCCCTCCGAGGCGCAAATCAGGGGCTCCACACCCCAAGGCCCTGCCGCCCTTCTGGGAGCCAAAACCGGTCAAAACGCCAGGGGGAGATCCGGCGAGCCACTCAGGCGGTGCAGACCCGGGTGTGGGTCGGGCTCTGCCCTCTGGCCTCACGCTCAACCCCAGGAGGTGCGGACGCCCACGTGAGATGCCCAGCACCGAGCCTGGCACAGAGCGGGCGCTCACCGGGGTGGGGGCGGTCAGCACGGCTCGGTGCCGCGGCAGCGCTCCGCCGGGCCCTACCTGCCTTCTCCTTGATGACGGCCCAGTCGTCGAAGCTGTCGATGTGCTCCTTGAGCCGTGCGCAGAGCTGCACGTTGCCCACGTAGTCCAGGAGCACGTCGATGATGGGGCCCGCCCAGCGGCTCACCTCGGGGGCCGACAGGACCTCACAGAACTGCAAGAGAGCACATACCGCGTGGGGCGCCTGGGACCAGGGCACGCCTGGGCGAGCCCTTCCCACAGGCGGAGACCGAGGCCGGCGGCCCTGGGCACGCCTCCCTCCACACGGCGCCCACAACACCAGCCCGTGCCATCCACGGCGGAAGATGGCTCCCTCGGCAGGCCACACCACCTCTGACCTCAGCCTCCTTGTCCGTAAGTGCGTGTGTGAAGCCACCCTCAGGGCCTTTTTTTTTTTTT